GGATCGTCCAGTTCCTATAGAACCTATTGAATTGCTCATTCAATGAGCATTCTCAATATTATGCCTTGAAGAGGACTCGAACCTCCACGCTCTTTAGCACGAGATTTTGAGTCTCGCGTGTCTACCATTTCACCACCAAGGCATCTTGAAAGTGAATCGTATAGTGAGCACCATGCCGAATCTCTCTACCATTTTCTTCTCTTCTACTTTGGCCAATATGAGTTCACCTGGTACTAGCATCAATATCGTCACTATTATCAATAAGAAAATCCTTAGGCTTGTTATCCAGGAACTTGTTCAGAAATACTGTAATGAAAGGAACATAGGAGCTATACTTTGATTCGGCTCTTCGAAAAGGAACATCCGCTCTAACAATTCCGTCTCCGTCTACCAAAACAACTGGAAATGTTTCAAAAAAAGTAGGCATACGGCGTACAAAAAGTTCCCGTCCTTCTTTATCTCTAAAGATAGGATGTCCTAACCACCCAACTGCTATTCCGTCCCCAATCGAAAAAGGATGTTATCCAAACGCATTTCAAGTAATTGTAGTAAAACCTGACCTGTTGACCCTTTAGCCTTCACGACAAAATCCTATAAGAGAAAATAAAGAAAATCGAGTCATATCTGGAAGAAGAAGAATCATTTCAGTCCACCGATTCTAGAAAGGTGGTTTCAAGGTTTTTAATCCTTTGCTCCACAAAAGCCGTGGCCCTCCTCACGGGATTCAAGTTGAGAGAGATAAATTGAACAAGTATGGTCGCCCCCTATTGGGCTGTACTATTAAACCGAAATTCCGGGAGGTCCCTATGAAAATTTAGAAACCCGACATTTTGATAGAGAAAGGGATCCTGAATGGGACGATTTTGAATATCGATTGTTACTGCTGAAACTTGGAAGAATGGAAATCTTAGATCAAAACACTATGTATGGATGGTATGAACTGCCTAAACAAGAATTCTTGAACAGCGAGCAGCAACAACAGGTTTTATTACGGGACAGCTCATGATGTTTCTATCGATCTATTATGCGCCTCTGCATCTAGCATTGGGTAGACCTCATACAATAACTGTCCTAGCCCTACCATATAATATAGAATCCCCCTTTCCTAATTTCATTAGATGTCTATCACGAAAGAGAAGATGTTAAGAGATGGTAATAAAGCTTTATGTCAAAAGCATATGTCAAAAGCATCACATCTTTAATTAGTGCAGTCAATAATAATGTGATAAAACATTTCACATTATTCCAAATTGTCATCTCATTACATTCACCCATTTCAAAATGAAACAGATACAAGGATTCTGATTCTCTAGTCATATACTTATGGGTCTTTTAGTTTGTCTATGAAAATCATATATTTATCAAACAATATGAGAATGTAACTCTATCTTTCAATTCTTCACGATATACGTCAAAGACGTGCATGCAAGACACAAAAGAATTCAACAACCATATGCATACTCTCGTGACCATTATAAATAGTAGAGTGAGTAGTATTCAACAACACTTTCTTAAAAGCAGATGCCTCAATATGCTTCGAGGTACCAGTGTCCATCCACCATTGTTCAGAGTTACCAGCAAGGTTATCTCTGCTCTTTTCACAATCATCACAACCACCAATCCTCCTCTTTAATCAAGTTAACACTAGAACCAGTGTTATAATTGTTCTTACACTTCCGTGTCATATGACATAATTCCTCGCAATTATAGCAGAGAAATAAAACGCCGTTCTTAGAGGATTGACCGACTATCTTTTGGTTACCACGAAGGGCACCATTCTCATTGGTATGGATCTGGTTCACTTAGTACTCACAGATAGTATTTCTTCAAAATAAATATGGGCATACAACCCATTCCCATAGCATATGATTATATAATACACATTCATATATACTGCAGAGTATGCATTTAAGTAATCAAAATTAGTCTCCTTCACTACATGTACATAAAATTGTACTCAAATCATAAAGAAAATACATCTCAATGTCAACATAATCATGCATCGATTCTATCTTTTCTGTTTAGCATTCAATAGGATTCTCGATTCCATGCATAAAGCTAGATAGCATAGATTCGAATGTTATCATTCATTAATAACTCATGGAAAAGGTTTCAGTTCTTACCTCTTTTCGAGAAGTCATTTTTTTTATATCACTCCGAATAGCTGACTCGCAGGTTGGCTTCGAGTCAATAATTTGTTGTCCGAATACCGCTTCTTACTGTCGTTCTCCATACTAGCTTATGCTCTTTTCCATCTTCTCGGAACTGTGGAGGAACTTGAGGATGGAGATCTGGACTTGAATCTGGTCCACTGGGCCGGTAGAATTCCACGGATGGTGGCGATCCACTTTGCTTTTGCCGGCGGAGCTTGGACAAGTGCAACTAATTGCACCTGGTCATTCTTTGATTTACTTGGCCCCAGAAGAAATCGAAAGGCCTAATAAAGAGCCAGCTTGTGGGCCCAAATTCTTCGAAGTTCGAACCAGTGAAAGTAACGAGTTATATTCCCCCAATTTCTTTATCTGAGATACAAAGTAGGCGACTTGTGTCCCAGGCTTCCACCGTCCGCCATCTCTCGGTTTAAAAGGCAACGCCTTTGAAAGAGACCTTTTCAATAAGAAGCCTATCCTCGACTATCCATTTAGCCCGAGACGGAATTGAAGGGCACAAAAGCCTTCCTTCTTTTTTCGTATCCCGGTTCGACACGCTTCATACTGCTTCGTTCTCCGGGTGAAGCCGTAGTCTCGATCTGTACTGGAGGATGCAAATTTTATTGATCCGCTACGGCCCCCATCACGATCAGTGGCCACTAAAGATGTGACTGAGTTGCGGATTAGGTCGCTCTCTTTAAGACGTTCGCGACACTGTCTCGTATTGCGCACAGCATACTATCAACCGCTCGCCTCCAGGATAAAACAATCACTCTTATTTTGATGCTTATTGGTTTTGTACGAAAACTGGAGCTCTATGAACTCACTCTCTCTCATGTTTATGCTCTTCTCAGGTTTGTTTATAGGGTCTGGGGCGTCTCCTATTTATAGGAGCAGAAAATCCAGAATATTCCCTCTTTCTTTGGGAATAAGTCACATTTTAATTAGGGAGATAATTACTCCCACAATTAAAATATAATCTATTGAGATAATTATTCCTAATTATCTTCATAATATTTCTTTTATTAATTATCCATCTTATTTTCGTATTATGGGAAAAATACTAGATAATTAATTAGGAATTGCATTATAGCTTTTCAAAGATATTCATCCCAACAACCGTCACCATCTCATGGGTGCTACCTGCTCAGGCAGCCTACGAGGAAGAGGCGGGTGCTGCCGTTGAGGTTGCACCGATGGGGTTCTTCGACAAGGGAATAAGGCAGACGATAGGTATTTTTAGTTTTGATTGGGTTGTGATAAAAAGAATATAAAAAGACATAAAATTAAATCGGGGCATTGGGTCATTTAACATCTCATTTAACCGTCGTTTAATTGATAATTCAACAGAAGAGTATATTTGCTATGTTTTAATACTAAGAGGTATATTTGTGCAAAAATTTAGTAGAAGGGTACTTTTGTTAATTTGCAATAATAAAAGTGTATAAAATGCTATTAACTCTTTGTAAAAAGGTATTGTGTTGATTAGGGTCGACCCACTGACCCGACCCGTCCAGACCATTTCCAACCCTTGAGGGTCAAATAGGGTCAAGAAGGAGACAATGACGGGATGGGTCGGTTATACATCTAGACACTTTAGAAACGGGTCAGACAAGGACAGGGACAGGGAGAGACAAATTTTCAGCCTAGACAGAGTTATGTTATTGGAATCGCAGGAGGCCTTGCTTCAGGTATGTTTTTTTTTTCAACATATAACTAAGTTTTTCTTCCTCTCTCCTTTCTGCTTTTATTATTATTTTACCCTTCTATTTATTTCTAGCATTATTGATCCAAGAGTGAATGCCATATTGATTGAGAGCCAGCCCCTAAAATGTCTTATTTCAGTAAGATTGATGCACATTTCTGCTTAAAATTGTCTCGAACTTAATGTTGTGGTTTAAATCTTTTGCTGGTATAGCCAAGCCTACTCATGCTCTTCTCACCTCAACTACTGCATTGGCTTTTCCGACTGATATTGTTCGCTTCATTTGCAGCCAAAGAGAACTGTAGCACTGCTAAGAGAGTGCTGCATAATTGCTGAATTGAATCCTTTCTCTTTAGCAACGTTTCAGTCCCTGTACTCATTGAAAGCTTAAAGGACTATGTACTTTGTTTTATGACTTATGTATGTTGTTTACTGAGATTCCCAAGTGTCACTCATCACTACCTTTTGAAGTAACAAACTGACTTATTAGAGTTATTCGTTTATATCTGTACGTACTGTCTAAATTGTTGCCTTACGATGAGCTTTATCCTGCAATGTAGTTGGTTTTTCAGCTCTCCAAAAGAGAATTTGTAGCATAGATGAAGAAAAGAGTACGTAAATGAGGGAGAAAATGGAAGCTGTATCCATGAAGGTGGGAGAGATAATGGTCTAGAAAAACATGTAATTTATACACAGTAGAGCGAATTTCCCCGCTTGCATTCCTGTGCCAAATACTTTCAGTTCTCGTGGCGTACTACCCTAGTTCACTTTAATTGTCCAATTTGTATTGTTTCCCCGTCTTCTCAAGCTTTGTTCATACTTGGGGGTGTAGTTGATTTTCCAGATAACGTGATGTGCGTGGCCATCAGCAGATGAGAATGTGTCCACTCTTGTCACTTTGCTGTTATGATGACACGTCCTAGTTGGAAATTGGAAATTGATCATCCGATAATTGGGAAATAGAGATGTCCACTGAACGAACGAACAAGCAAACCAGAGAATGGCCTTACTAATTGTAGTAACAACTAACATAGCACATTCAACATATGCAAGTTCCTTAAACCAAGCTAAGCTACCCCAGAGTTGAAGTGTCTAAATTGCTTGATAATACAAGATAACTGGAGATGGGAAGGAAGCCCATTTAGAAGATAACTGATTCTTTCTTCAAGCAGAGCAAGTAGCCAAGTGCTTGTTAATGGTGTCTTGGAGCTCTTCCTTCTTCGCACCAACTACCATGTCTAGAATCTTGCCCTCTTTCAGAAACACGAATGTTGGCATTGCCTCCACTTCCCAGTCCTGAGCAATAGTCTGTCCTAAAAGCACAACACGTAAGCAAAGAAGAGAAGAGAGAGCAACATAAGAATGAGGATATGAGGTGGTACTACTACTAGGTAATTAAGCTTAAAGATTTTGTTTTGTTTTGTTTTGTGGGGCACTCACTTGGAGTTCATCAACATCGACCTTGAGAAATGTAATAGGGGGCAGCCTCTTTGCCAGCTCGCCCAAGAAAGGAGATATGAAGCGGCAAGGCCCGCACCATGACGCTGTGAAATCGACAACCACCTGAAATGCAACCATCGCCGCAAATTTCAATCACTAGTCTATCGAATACAGCCACTCAAAATGCCAAACGAGAAGCCTGCCTGCCTAACCGAGCATGCAAATTAAAATTGCAGCAACCATGAAAACATAGGAGATCCAATAATCACGGGGGTCGAATCAATTCAATTTACCGACTACAAATCCAAATCAAAGGTATAATCGGTGTCAAACAAGCAAGAAACCAAACCACATGAGAAGAGAAGAAAAACAGAGCCAGATCCATCACCCGAGAGCATGATTCATTCGGGATGAAATCGTCAGCTAGCTAGATAATAGCGGAGTTGGAGCATACATAATATATATATATATTTGGTGGCTACTTCGGTGCACTCGCTTTTTTTTGTGCACTCAGTGCACCCAACTCTAAAAGCGTCCATAATACATCAAATTTTGAACTTTAATTACTACTCTCAATATAATATGATGATATGACATAGAATCATAACAAATCAGTCCATTACCCTAACCCCTTAACCTTCAATTTTGAATCCCAACCCAAAATTCAAAATTGTAAACCTAAACCCTAACCCTAAATCCCTAAATCTTAAATCCTTCGAATTAAAGTAAATTTTGAATGAATTTTTTTCAAATTCATGTGTATCTTGTTCATAATATCATAAGCAACAATTGATAACGTTTTGACATGAATCGCATGGTCAGAATGACAATTATGAGGCGGGCACTGAGTGCACCCAAAAAAGTGGGTGCACCGAATACGGCAATATATATATATATATATATATATATATGGTGGCTTCTATCGTACCCCGGGTAAAATCCGGGGTATGGCGTACCTTGGGTGATCTTGACCGTACGTGTGATCTCGATGGCAGAGATTAAATTTTATTAAATAATTTATTTTTTTGGAATTTATATTAAATAAAATTACAGGAAGACTCATAGAATTAGTTTTTCTTTCATTTTAGTCCATTGTAAACCAAATCGGGTTGGTTCTGTTTAGTTATTGAATTGACCCAAAATCCAACCACACTAAGAGAAAGGACACCTACCTTGCCCCACCCGCAGCCCTACCCCTCTCCTCCAAATCCCGACCTTGGACCTTCTCTCTTCTCCATTTTTCTGTTCGAATTGGGAATAACCCTGTTCTTCCTCCCTACTCCTGTAAATCATCCCAGCCGTCTCAGAAAATGGCAGCGATAATTGAACCACTCTGTTTCCCCCTCTTATTCTTCTTCGTTTTCCCGTTCTCGACTGTCATATTTCGCACCTGTCCTATGATTCCTCCCAATCGATTGTTTGAACCCTAAACTGGCCGAATATCGCAGGTAATCTCGGTGTCAAGCTGTGCAAGCATAAGCACCCCCATCCCTTTGAATGAAAACTAATTGTTGCTTGTATGAGTAATTCACTTGTGCAAACAGCTGGGCAGGCGGAGATGATTGCACTGGAGAAGGCAATGAAAGAGACCATGGTTCCTTCAGGAACTGCTAGGGAGGTGAGAAAGGGATTTTGAATTGAAATTGCCGAAATTGATTTTCGAACTACAATGTTGTGATTTTGGATGGATCTCTGATATGGATGAGGTGTATTGTAGACTGATTTGGGAAGAGAGGTCTCGTTGTTTGAAGTGGAGGCTACAGCTGTGGAGTCTGTATTTCAAAAATTCTATTCCTACATTTTTTTACACTGAAACCGTGGGGTTCGAACTAAACAGAGACCCCGACAGGCCCAGTCCTGCTTCTATCTTCGTGGTTAACTTTGACAAGGTAAGGGTTTTGACGAATTGTTGTGACGGTTTTATGCATTGATGATAAACCGAGTTAATGTGTATCGGAATTAGGTGCTTAAGATGTCCCTTTCCAGGATCATGTGCCTTTTTGGTCCATTCTTTCAGTAGTCTTTGACATGATCTGTTGAGGAGCTTGTTTGGTGGTTTTCTTTTTCCAGGTCAGAATGGATCCGAGGAACAAGGAAGTCGATCTTGATAGTTTCATGTTTAGCACAATTGATAAGTTGTCTGAAGAAGATATGAAGAAACAAGAGGGTGATTACATTTATAGGGGGAGCAACTCAATTTTGGTTGAGCTCAGACAAATATTATTTGAATGGACGATATGTGACCTCTTTCATTTTAGTCACCACGAGAAATGACGATAAGTTCCTAATTCAATTTTAGCCACATTCTTCACTAGTGATGCTTTTAATCATGTTTCGGGTTCTTCCATCTTTATTGAAAAATGGTTTAAGGGTCCACTTGATTGGGCTGGTTGTTGGACGATCCTCCATCAAATTTCGATGGGTTACTTCGTGAAGACGTGATGGGAATAAGTTTCCCGAGGCAAGTAATCTGGCCAGTTTATCTCTATTAGTTTTTATGCGAATCTCAGAGGTGGCTGTTTCTGTTGCTGCTATTTTGGCTATCTGTCTGCAATGTGAGATTACTGTAGCGGTTCCATTTCTGTTTGGCAAACTAGCCTCTGGCTGTGTACTTGTGTTTATCGGTTGATTTCCTAGCCTCCCTCTAATAAATAAAAAAGCACACCAAAACTTGCAATCTATCCGCCAAATAATAAACGTGTCCTTAAATCGTTACCATAAAGAGGGCGTTCGTTGGAAAGGAAGAAACAAAACTAAATGCTAAAATGCAGAACACACTATGCGACTAGATATCCTTGAGCCCTGAATTCGCCTCTTATGGGAAGCTGCTTTCCTGAATTAGCCTCTTCTGGGAACCTGCTTTCCTCTCTTGGGAAGCTATTTTGTACTCAAGTGTCTGAGCTTCAAACCTAGGCGCATTCTGATTTGCTTTCTTGAGCACCTTGTGTCTTATGTAATTGGTAGGCTCTTTGACTAGGTACAATGCCACCTGCATTCTTCTCAAATGATTGCATGGTTGTAAGGACAGAAAATATAACGTATTAATACAATAGTTGACATAGTTTTTTTAATGTGCTCGTAGAAATAAATGGGCCTAGGTAGTAGGTGATTTCTTACCCAAATATAATAGTTATCATCCCATGTTGATCCCATCATCCACACACAAACCCAGATCCCACTATCATTCCTGTTTAGAAAGATGCATTACGTAAGACACAAATATTTTATTTTTCTAGTGAAATTATGACCAAATATACATTCTTACTTGTGTCATTGTGTAGGAACTTCAGGAGTGGTCAAAGAAAACTCCTTAATCTGTGGTGGTGCACATGTTGATTGAACTTCCTTGTGTAAGGCATCGAACAAGTCGTTCAGAAATTCAATCTAAAACGTTCAAAAAGCAACCTATGAATTTCAAAATTTTGTTGGAAAATATAATGCCACATAATTGAATTACAAACACGTGTATTGAAGTATGAATTCAATGGCACAAATTTTAACTATACCATTGTGTGAACTGCATTCGTAGGGATTGTTTGGCGCTCTTTTGATGGGCATGAATCCAGAATGTGTACTTGTTTTTGGTCCATCAAAATTATAGCTAAATACTAGTGGATGCCTTCATCATTCATCATATCTTTCATGGAAAGACAAACCTTCACAGGTACGAGAAAACAATCCAATTAACTAATTAGTTTTCCGACATAATTCATTCAAGAAATTAAGCAGAAGGGCAGGCATAATTCACGCGCACATATGTTGTGAAAACCGCTACTAAATAAGCAGAAATGAGAAGGAAGAATTGTGGAGAAGTCATAACCTTTCTACAGTTATGAGCTTTTGATAGGAATTTTGTATCATATAACTCTAATGCCTTTGCAGATGTCATGCCATAATTAACGACCATATCCTGGTAGGAAAATGAAGTTAAATCATTGAACACTAATCTTACTTGATAAACAACCGACCCTGTGTAAACTGAATTAGAATTACAAAGCAAAAGCAACACTTACCTGCAATTCCGTAGGCAGAAAGCACACTCCTCTTCCACAACCAGTATCTCTTTTAACTTCGTCCAAGGTCAAGTGGCATGCTAACGCTGTAATTACCTAAAACACAATAGAAATAAAACACCAATGATTAAAAATCGTTAAGCACGTTCAGGTCAACTAGGGGCGTTTCGCTGAAGTACTTACATCAGCATCAACGCTTGACTCGGGGCATAAGCTCCATAATGTCTGCCTGGTATATGATTTCATCATTGTTTTGACCAAAGCTTCATCAGGAGGAAGGTCTTCTGCAAATATATAGTGAGCAAAACTCACTTCTTCGTCACTGTAGTTGACGGCTGTAGGGAGCTCAAACCTTGTGGTACCCTTCAATCGTGGAGAACGAACAAATAGAGGAAATAAGAAGAGGTTTTCTTGAGTTTTAGGTTTTACATTTTAAATGAAAATATATAATTAATTAAAGAAGAAATAGAAGTCAAGTGGCGGAAAAAGGAACGAAGGAAAACAACGAAAATAGTGGGCGAAAAGGAAGCATATATACATCACTAGGATTACATACCTTCATTGACAATTTTTGTGCAGGCGTGAGAGGTTTTTTTTGCACACCTAGATCATAATGGTTCAGCCTTGGTTCAGCATCAAGAACAATCACCTTCGAGTCGGATGTAGGTGGGGGGATGACGTCTTACATTCTTGTTTTCTTTGCAGGAGATACATAGTTCTCCAATTCCTACAATAATGAACAATCAAGTCAGAATAAGTTTTGTATAAATAACCTACTGTTGAAGCTCCTGGACGAACCATAGACTTGGCTAGAGAACGCGTTAGGCGTACAGTAGACTGGCCGCTCGTCATCTTGTTCTTCTCCCTAATATAATTGTACAAAAAAGCAACGAGAGAGTGGAATATAAGAACAAATACAACGAAATAGCTGACTAAAAAGTTAAAGAAAACACATTAGCGGATTGCAGAACTTACCCTTCCTTCCCCATAATGTTACAGACACAATGTTGACCAAAGGGCCTCTGCGCTACTTTTAGTTGAATGAGTTTTGAGCAAGATGTTTGGCCATATTAATAGATGCGCCAGAGGGGTGTTTATCCTCGTGAATTAGGAAAACCCGTGAGATATCAATTAGAGTTTTTTTATATGTGGGAACTTCTATATTTATCCACTCATTAAATGAACTTAATAAGGAATTAACTAGTTACGTGTGAACTTCTATATTTATCCACCTCATTAAACCGATTAGGGGCTTCATTTTAGGGTTTTAAGGTTCGAAAAGACAAGACCACGAAAGCAGATGGAAGAAGGGAAGAAGACGATGCCAGTTTAACCTCCCTTGGTTGGTTGTGGCTCCGCCAGTTTATGAATTCACGTTTGGCCCATTTTCAACCAATCAATTAAGAGTGATATAGGCTTT